TCTGTCTGTCTGTCTGTATATCTATATATCTATATAAATATATCTATATATCTATCTATCTGCGTGTGTGTGATTCATCAAGTTGAAAGAAAACACAAAGCTTTAATTAAAACATAATTTCCGTTTCCATGAAAATGTGTAATATGAGTTTGTACTTTATGTGTCATTACAAGGTTCCTAGAACAATGCTGTATTACAACAGTAAATGCTGATGTTGCCACTGTTAATCCCCACCCTGCATTATTCATCAGTGGGCATCATATTATTAGACATAATGTGGTCGATGTGGTATGGATGTGACACACTCAAACTGGATTCTCAGGCCACTAACCTTATCCAAGAGAAATTACCATATTTGGTTCCGTACAACACTCTATTTCAAAGTTTAGTAAAATCATATTTTATTGTTATTATTTCTGTATACTGTATATTGACCCAATGCTACTGATTTTACATCACAAATCATATAAGTTAGTAAGGTTTAGTCAGGATTGAAAAATACACTATTGTTTTCATGCTATCAGGTCTGAATTATATTGCACTATTCACAGAAAACATATTCATCACTGATGCTGTCTTGGTAGGACAGTTTGATTATGTGCATGAATCACTACTGTTGGTGGTACAGTAAGAGAACCTTCTTTCTTGTTGGAACTCTCAGAACCCCTCAGAGACTCTACTATCAACATTATCAACAACTACTTGAATGGATTGCACTTCAATGGCATCATGGGGCGATTGTGGCTCAGTGGTAGAGCAGGGTCGTCCTTCAATCAGAGGATCGTAGGTTCGATCCCAGCTCTGCTAGCCCCTGTCGATGTAAGTAAGTAAAATATATTTATAACACGCTTTTCACAGACATAAGTCACAAAGTGCTTAACAGGGCAGAAATTACAAGCATAAAAAACACAATGTGACCATAGGGCCAATAATTTACATACACACAGAAAATACAAAATTGAAACATGGTTTAAAAGCAGGTGTAGGACATGGGTTTTACCCAAACGCCAGTCTAAAGAGGTGCGTTTTGAGCTGGTTTCTGAAAGTGTTCACAGAATCTGCGAGGCGTAGAGGTGCAGGCAGAGCATTCCACAGCCTCGGTGCTACTGCCTCAAAAGCTCGGTCAACACGGGTCTTAAGGCGAGTGCGTGGGACAGACAGAAGACCTAAAACGTCTGACCTGAGAGCGCGGGCGGGTGAATAGGGGTGAAGTAGATCAGCTACATATGTAGGAGCCTGACCGTGTAGTGCTCTGTAAGTGAGAGTGAGAATTTTAAAGTGTATCCTAAAAGCTACAGGGAGCCAGTGGAGAGATCGGAGTACAGGGGTGATGCGAGACCGTCGATTTGTCCTGGTGAGTAATCTGGCGGCAGCGTTTTGGATGACCTGCAAACGGTTAAGAGCAGATACACTGAGTGATGAGAAAAGAGTGTCCTTGGGCAAGACACTTAATTGCTCCTGTAGCTGTGCCTACGGTGTGTGAATTTAGTATGAATGTTAGATAGTCCTGATGGGCAGGTAGCACCTTGCATGGTATAGCTCCTGTCATCAGTGTATGAATGGGTGAATGATGACATGTAGTGTTTAAGCACTTTGAGTGGTGGCTTTCCATTTACCATTATATTCATGGTCCCCTCAAACTCAGAGTGAAGTTGTGTTTTTAATGTACTGACCTTTCCTCTAGTGCCACCATGAGGCTGACATTTGTAGTTCAGAGTGGATTATTGTAAAACAACTGTTGGATAGATTACCACGACATTTGCTGCAAACATACATGTCTTCCTCAGCATGGATTCGAAAAAGTTTTATGATTTTCTGACTTTTCATTTAACGCCATCATCAGGTCGACATTACAATCCATCCAGTGATTTGTTTTATCACCAAATACCTGCAAAACTACCGACATTCCAATCAGCCTCAGCTGTACTTTGTGTTTAGGGCTGATTAGCAACTGCTAGCATGCTAGCATGCTAACATGCTAAACTAAGATGGGGAACATTAAAGGTGCTGAAGTCTCAGTATTAACTAGAGGATGTACGTGATTCTGTATAGCATGTGTTGTTTTAATAATGCATATATAATGTTATATATATTACTGCATTTTTTCAGATTTCTAGTGATGAAAAAATACTCTAAACTACTGCACTACACAACATTTTAAATGGCCAATACATTTCAACCAGAAGCAACTTTTTTCTTCATACACTAACAAATGCCTAGACTTTTGAAAACAGGACATTTTCTTTGATTTTGCAAAATAACAAGAAAACTTACTCAGAAATGTATTTAAACAACTTTTATTTGCTAATCATGGTGCCAAATTCTGTTAAATGTGTCACATTTGTTCTGTTTTATATATTTGCAAACAAACATTCATGTGTTTTGTCACAGTGGTGTACAAATCTGTGCAGATGTGCAATTGTAACAATGTTACATACATTTAGGCAACACGCTCCAAAGTTCCACAATTAAACTATATTAAACAAAAAATGTACACAGAAACAAAAATAACAACAGCAAAAATTTAATTATGAATATGACATAAATAATCTGAGACAAAATAGAGTTAAATTAACTTTAAAAAACAATGGCTGACATCACAAAAATGCTGTAACAAAATGTAAAAAACATATAAGGTGCTGGAAGTATATACCCGTAAGTGTGTAACAATATAATTATGTACTGTAAGATATATTATCACATATTATGGACAGTTTAACTATGTTGCCTTCATTCTCATTCAGAGTGGCTACAAAAACAATATAGCTCGTAAACTGCTCTAGAAGTTGGTGCAGCGCAGGAAGTAGCTGTTCCTCAGCACACGGAACAATCTCCCCGTCCTCAGGCTGTACTCAAACATGTAGGGTCCACTGTAGATGTAAGTAAAACCTGCAGAACACAGATTCACCCAATGTTAGTTTCTGGACAAACTTTTCTCATTTCGTTAACCTTGACTTGGAAAACTTTGAATGCTTCTCACCTCTGTACTGGAAAGCTGCAGTCACCTTGCTGGTCAGGCCGGAGAAGGTCTCATCCACTTGCTTGGGGAATCCCTGGTCCATGGTCTTTCTGGCCTCATCATAACTGAGGAAACACGGACAGGAATTAGACCACCATTTGTGAACCATCTTGTGAACCGTCATCGGTCGCCTGAATTCATTTCACATCAAGTCATTTGAACACACCTGTAGTAATCGCTGCCCACAAAGAACAGAGTCTTTTGGGATTCCACATCAAAAAGGGCTGCATCGATTTTCTTCACACTTTTGGGCAGACCAAATCTTGAAATTGATTTTGGATAGCCACGCACTAGATTATAGCCACTGAAAGCCCACACTCTCCGTTCTGTACAGAGATTGACAGAAAACATGTATTAGTATCTGCATGTAAAGGTACATCTTGAAAACGGTGTCATATTAGAGCCTCAGGCAGATATTGAGATCACATACCTTTAAAGAGAAACACTCTGTCTGAGTGTTTGCTTTCAAAGGCAGCGTCGATGTTGGTGGGGGCATTGGGCCAGAAGTTTGTGATGAGACTTTGCTGAGGTGTATTGCTCTGAGGGTAGCTCCGCCAGAAGATTCTGAGAACACACAAGGACATTTCATTCATCAGTCATCTTCTTTATGAAGAGAAAACACCCTTAATGGACTTCAGCATTCCAACTTTTGAGCATTCTACTGTATGTCTACAATACCTGTCTTTGAAGAAGAGCATCTCTCCTCGCAGGGTGGCAACAGCATCCAAGACCAGGGTGGAATCACAGGCATCAGGGGTGGTGGGGGGCTGAGGTTCAACTACAGAGGGATCCGTGTCAGGGTTTGGACCTGAAGGTTAAATAAAATCATAATCACATTACAACGATGGCGTTAACACATTTTATGGTCACGTGCTATGTGTGCAAACAGGCATATCGATGATTGAACCAGTTGGTACGAACCATAGAGAGACTGGATGCCGTTGACATCATCCCGGGGCAGAACAAAGGTGTCAGCATTGCTGTATGAGTACACGGGGTACATGAGAGCACCAGCATCATCAGAGTGAGACAAGCCAAGAGAGTGGCCGAACTCATGGGCAGCCACCATGAAGAGGACGTAGCCTGCAGCATAAAACACAGAGCTACAGGTTAGTAACAGCTCCACTCTATGATTTAACCCTGTCAATACATACACCGACAGTAGTTAGGTAGATGAGGACAAAACTGACCGGTGTTTGAGCGAAAAGTGAAGGTCTCGTCCTCGTCAAAATGAGCATCTCCTCCAAGGCCAGGTGCTGGGCCGAAGGCATGGGCAAGAGTGCCATCAGGGCCATCAAAGGGGTAAAAATCACCATGTGCTGTTAACAAGAACATGCTCATGTCAGGTTTTGCAAACACAATCCATTCATTGAATTAGTGTAAAAATCAGAGCTGGATTTGAAATAGTATTGATCAGCTGTTCAATGGGATTCAGGACACAGAAACACATGGAGTTAAAGCAAAGACACTTAATGGAACCTCACTATCAATAAACTGTAGAGAGTGGAACACTTCTTCTGTACTCACATCGGCGTCCAAAGGAGATCATGATGTCAGCGATGCCACTGTAGATCCTTGTGAATCTCAGAGGAGTGACTTTGGCCCAAACCTGCAGGGCTTTGTCTATGGAGTCATCTACCTCTGACACAGACATGTCAGGTGTGTAGTTTTCTATCCTGATGGGCGGAACAACAGTCAAGAATATTATTACTTAGACTATCTACAGTTCATCTGTCCCACACTCTCTCTCTTCAGATCACTCACCTGTAGGTCAGGCTGTTTCTCTCCCACTTGTTACCTCCGAACGTGGAGAAATGGGCAATGTTGCCATCTGGAACACCACAGCGGGGCTTCTTCATCATCGCCATGGTGTCAGTATCCAGGGTCCCGGTGATGTTGAGACCGAAGAATCTCTGCATCTCACTCAGCTTCTTGGTCACCGGACTGACCCCCCGTCTGATAGTTGGACCAGTCTCCTCTGTTAGGTTGAAGAATCTCTTCAGGTAGCTCTGTAGAAGAATGCGAGGATGTAATACTGTTAAGTCAGTAATGAGCCTCAGAATTTGTGGAACAACAAAAGTCCACAAAATGCACATCTGGAACACGTCTTAAATGCAAAGTAATGAATACATACATACCTCTGCATAACCTTCATCTTGCACAGTGACCTGTGATGCAGGCACACAGTGGACTGTGACTGCCAGGCTCAGTATGATGTACAGACTGCAGGACCTCATGCTTCCTCGTTGAATGCGTCTTGTTTGTCTGCTCTGGAGTCAGCTGTTATAAAGGCTGAGGGGTGGACGCCTTGAGGGGTGGGTATGTTGAGCAACTACCTTCCTGAGTCAGTTACTCAAGAACTGTTCCATTTATAGATAAGAGGGAGAAGATTGGCTTTGATTGCTCAGCCCCAAAACAAATCCCCATGACACATGACATTTCCATATAGAAAACACAGATTATAAAATCACATATTCTAGGAACAAACTGGATGAATAAAGTAAGTTATATGGAAGTGAGACTTATTGTTGTCAGTGTTAAGGTGGTATTCTGAGCGATATCCTCAGATTGTGAAGGCAGTCTGTCATGGATTCACAGGTCTTTAATTGGAGGAGACCTCTTACACAGACATGCTGCTTCACGTCAAGTGTCCTTGTGACAGGTAATGGAGAATTTGTAGATGCCACATGCTGTGCAAATCCACTCACCAACCGCTTCACAACAGCTAAACCATTGTAACAATCAGGTTTATAGATACATGTTTCTGTCTTTATTATAACGATATTGAGGTCCGTTCATACTGTCACATATTTATGGGTGCTGTAAC